ACTAGTCTTAAGGAGGAGGAATTATCATCCCATTGACCACTTGGTTAAAAGGCCCAGTCCCTTCAGTCACGAGCTCGACCTCAGAGTTGACAATCTTGAGTTGCTCCACAGCAGTATTAAAACCGTATCCAAGGATGTCTACAATGTTCTGCTCAAGCTGAAGAATCCGAGAAATCAACTCCTTCCTAGTCTGAAAGGACTTCTCATCATCAATTTCCGTGTCAATAGGTTCCAGGACCCCCTCCAACTCTTTTACCCGGGCGATCAGTTTTTCATTCTCCTTAGTCATTGTGTCCATCTTCAGATTTAACTTATTCAACACCTCGACGAGCCTGACTTGGATCTCATACTTCTCCAGATATACGAGAAGATTGTTCTTCAGCTTTTCTTTATGCCCCTCCAACTTGCTGATTCGGGCCTTCGCTTTGTTAAGAGCGTCCTATGAGAACTTCGCTGCGTCATTTAGGTTAAGGTACTCGAGAACCCTAATTACAACGGCCACATCCTTGGATAGATTTTACTTCTGGGTCTCCTTGTCCGTAGACAAAATGGCTTCCATTCCCCCTTCGTGAAGACTAAAGGAATTGTCCCTACTAAAAATACCACGGTTGAGATAACAGTAGGCAACACAAAGGTATTTACGACATCCTTGCCCTTATCTGTAAATACCACATGCTCGGGATCTTCCCCATGTTTCCTTTTTGCGGGTTGTTCAGGGGGAGAGATAGCTGGTCACCTTGAGGAGAAGAGGAACTACTGAGATGGGCTTCAAGTTTATCCTGTTTCTAGATCTGAGCAGATCATGCTAAGGGAAAATTCTTGACACCCTTGGACTTCAGCGTGATCACATATTTCTGGAGAGTCGACATCTGACCTACAATCCAAAAGGGAAACAGTTAGTCTACAAAAAAATACCAACTACGAGCATGCTCCTTACCTAGAAGTCTTAAAGATTCTTCATCAGAAGAGCATTCGAGGAGCTCTTTCCTATTTATCAGTCGAGCAGCATAGACATGCTCCCCATCATCATCAAAAATGAAGTTGTTGTTTGAGTCCACACATTTGGCAAGGGTGAAACTCCTGACATAGGCCACTAGTTTTTCATAAGAAAGCATGTCCTTGACGTCCAGCTCCTCGGGCTTTACTACATAAAATTTTGTCCCCTGCTTGAAGTGATTCCACTTCCACTCAAGGGGGAATTTTGCCTTTAGCCTCGTCACTTCTTGACCATCCTTAAGCTCGACTGGACGATCATACAAGAATTCCACGGCCGCTTCTGAAATAGGATTCACCACGAAGTACCTATCCTTGAACTGTCAGACGGATTCCAGGTATGGTCGGAACAATTTTATAAACTATTTGAATGACACCCAGGCCTGAAGGCCTTCAATAGTTTGCCGCTGGAGATGAAATATTTGGAAGAACAGGGTCAAGGTAGCACCAATCTTAAGATGTTGGCAAACGAGCTCGAATGCCCGCGTCAACGCGAGCGCATTCAGGTGAAGTTGGGAAGGCGCCAAGTCTAACCATTTTAAAACCCCCATCTAAAAATTCCTAAAGGGCAAGCGTATCCTCGCCTCCATAAAGGAAAACTCGTACATGGGGAAGCGCATGCCTGGGAAATCCGATCAGATCCTCCTGTCCTTGTGCAACCAGAGGACCGACCAAGAGGCAGAGACCTTATCTTCCAATTCCTTGACAACATTGAACGCGTAAGAGGAATCATGAACAAACCAAGACATAATGGTTTTGGGTTCGGGCGTGACCCAATCTAGGTTGTTTCCCGTTCTTACGTTTTCCTCACCATTTGAGTCAGGCAAAATAGCTTCTTCGACCAAGTGAGCCATCTTACCTGACAAGCAGGGGAAAACAGTGGATTTGATATCATCAAATCCACCCTTCCATCGCAAGTCAAGTGAAAGGGAGATGAGCACCTTGAGGTTAGGTCATAGACTGAAGCCCTTGACGATAAACGCAAAAGGAAGCAACATCCTCGAATAGAGGAAAAATCACACTCAGACGTTTCCCCAATGAAGCGACTTACTTGAATCTCTCAAATTTATAGGGAAGATGAACCCGACATAAACCCAGATGAAGCTCACCTAAAATTCATGAACCTTCATACGAAATTAATAAACCCAGACGAAGCTCATGTATCTTCATTCGAAATTCATGAATCTTTATCCAAAACTCATGAACTCGATCGAAAGTTCATCCGCCTGCCATAAGATTCGTCGGAAACTTCACATCCACCAGAAATTTCATACGTTCAGTCTAAAATCCTAAGATAAATTAACATACGGTAAGAGAATCACTTACTTGAAAAAGGATGAAAGATGGAAATTCTATGATTTCGGCGGCAACGACGGAGTAGCTAGTGAATAGAGAAGAGACGACGCGAGAGCAAAGGTGAAAATATCTAAGTGAATTTCTTCACTCCCTTTTTATAGATATCCCCCACCATCCAGGGTAGCGTGTGAGGGGTCATCATTTCTTAGACCCCTAGACTTCCCTAGGTAATTATGACGCTCAAAATAACCGCCACGTGTGACACGCAAAGTGATGTTCCATTTTGGCTTAAAAAATATCACGCGTGAAGCCGCGCCTTGACGCCATTTCAATTCTTTATTGGGAAACACCTGCTCGACCTCATTATGGCGCCTTTTCTATAGGCATATCATGTATATAAGCCTGGGGAAAACTCCGCGTTTGTTTCCCGCGCGAATGTGAATCCCAAATACCCGCATCAAGACGAACAAATAGCAAATTGACCAAGGAAAGTCTCAAAACGAATTGGCCGCGACACACGCATGCCCTCTACATCAGACGTGAATGCGTGATTACAAAGAATGGACAAGGAAGTCGATGGTCATGACGGCCACATCGTCCCCGACTGAAACACGGTGATTATTCTGACGACGACAACCCCAAAAAAATTTATCGGTATCTTGTTGGGAAACCTCTCCCTGACAATTAGACTGGTCTTAAGTCATTTCTCTTTTGCCTAAGAGCAATAACTTAAGGGGCTCTTGTTCTGGACTAGGCCTGAACTTGGCCCACTATCGAGCAGGCCCAATCAAGCGCCTTTACCATGGCCCAATAACATACGGCTCATGTCAGTAACCATTGGGGAATTTCCCATGTGCCCCCAAGGAGATGTGGCCAACAGTCATTCAGAGTTGCCATCATCCTGTCCATTGAGAATAACGGGTTCATAACTTTCCTATTATCTCGGAGCAGTTTACTAGGGAGGAGATCACATGTTGGTTTCCACTACTCACATAACTCTGGAAGTATTCAATATTGGGCCTAACTATCTGGCCCAATGCGTAAATATAAGCCCAGCGTTGAGGGCTATAAATACCCTCTCACACGAGAGGGTCAGGTACATTATTTCCTACTCACTTAAACTCTCTACTTGCATTGTTGTTCAAATACTTACTTTGGCATTGGAGAATCTTGCAGGTACCTCCCCCATCGCCCCCCCCCACTTCACCTTCAACTGATATTTCAATCCAGTTCATGGGCCATCAACGATCCTTTCTGATCAGGTACGATCAAAAATCATTTTTGAAATACAACTTTTGGAAAAAATTCTAATTTTGACTATGTTTTGATCATAAAAAATGTATGTGTATGTTATAGAATGTCAAAACTTGTCCTTTAATTTAAAAACTATATAAAATACTTGTAATATTTTGAAAAGTGTTTTTATAATCCATTTTTGGAAATACAAAGAAATAATTCATTTTTTAAAGATGAAACAAATGAGCTTATCAGAGGTAGATATGTCAACTTGCACTCATTAGTGGGGATATCCACGATGATTTCCCGTTTGGGGCCTCAAATATGGGGAATTTCCCTCCCCCCCTTCCCGCAGGGACGAGGAAGGGGAATAAAGTTCCTCAAAGGCACTTTGGGGATGGAGATGGTGAACATACCCCCCTGTCCCACACTAGAATACCATAATATCGTTAATTAATATAATTTAACATTTTGATATAGGTGTTTTTGTCATTTTAACTAACTTGTTTTATAAACAAATGTAAAACACATATGTAATGTTAGTAAAAGAAAGAGATCTAAATGATTATTTTAAATTTTTTTAAGTTTGATGTTCATGAATATCAAGATTAAATATTATTAAAATAATATATTTATCGTAGTGATTAGTTTATTAATTTCTTGTGGTTAGTTTTTTTATTTTTTCTACTGATTTAGTTAAAATAATAAATAAAAATTTATGTTTATAGATCTCTGCAGAAATCGTAGGGACCTGTGGAGATCTATGGGAACGGGGATGAGGGACAAAATCCCCCGTGACGGAGATCTGAGACGGAGATAGGGAATAAATTTGAGGGCGGGAATTGAGATGAGAATGTATGCCACGCCCCCACACTGGCTCATTGACATCTTTAATTTAAAGGTCCAAACAAAATTTTTTGTTTCAATGACTTTTTTGTCTATCTCATGGGCCTCTCTATTGGCCTCTCTTCTAATATGGTTAATGTTACTATTCCTAAAGCCTAGCAGGAGAAAAGTCATTTGTTGGATAAGGGTTCCATGGTGAGTTCTATCGTTATCAATGGTGTTTATCTTTTCATCCATGTTCTTCCATTTCTTGTTTTCCACAATCTTTTCCACCATGTTTTTGTAGTCACTCTGGATGAAGACATTCACAACTTTCTTTTCCTTCGCCAACTTTAAGGCATTGATCAGATCTTGCGTTTTAGCTGCAGTACCGTGTTGTAGGCTTTCTGATTCCAAGTAGCTTCAGTTATCTTTGGTCCATTCTCGTTTCGGAATATTTCATCAAGGTTCCACTCATTCTAGATGGCCAGGTTAGCATCGATGTTGATCTAGATCTTACCATATTTCCAGTTCTCGTTTCTCATATTATCGTGATGCTTGTGATTGATTTTGATATTTTCTCGCTTGATTTAGTTTTACATGTTGTTTATTTAAGCTCCACGATCATCTATGGGATGAATTTTTGAATTATGGCGTTTTTAAGAATGGTCCTGATAGAGATTGGTTTTTGTTCCCAAAGTTTCACCCCAACTCCAAATCGAGTTTTTCATGATTTTCAAGTTGGACTCCCACTGATTATTGATATCACTCATATTGGTACTGTGGCGGTCAGCTTTGTAGAGTTTTCTCATTATCTTCTTGTCCCAGTTCTCATTATTAGGGGTAATTTTTCTTTTCCCCTTATTGTTGTCATCCTCTTTTTTTGTTCTTCCAATTGTTGGAATTGTTGTTTATATCATTTCTTTAGCTATCTTTAGGATTTTGGAAGTTTCCTTGATTATCTCTAGGTTTTTCATGAATCCATATGCCTTTTGTCCAGGAAGTATTAATTCTTTCAAAATTCCCTTGAATCTACCATATACTACTTCTTTTATTGGTTCTCCAATGATTATCCTTACTCAGATTAGGTGGATCATTTTTCTGTTTCGAAAGGAGGTTGGTTGTGCTATTATTGTTATGGTAATTTTGCTTATCATATCGCTGCATCATATTTTTCCTTTGATTTTCATGAATGTGAACCTCATAAGTTTCAGTGGTTTGATTGACATCATATGTTTGGTTTTGGTTGTCCCTAACGGTAATCTAGGTGTGAATCCTTTTTCCAGTTGGGGCATAATTCTGCATCGAATGAAGTCTGCTCATACTAGTATTCTCCTGGAGGGTTTGATTATCTTCTCGGTGCAAACTTATTTTTCTTTAATTAATAAGACTGTTGTCCTCATAAATCTTATTGGTATGTTTGAGAACTTTAGTTTGGTGCTAGTTATCCCTATCAGTAGCCCAATTATGAAGCTTTTTTATCATTTGGGTCATTGCTCTGCTTCAAAAGAATGATGCCCTTACTAGTATTATCCTAGTGAGTTTGATTCTCTTTATGATGCAACATACTTTTTCTTTGATTATCAACATTTTTATCCTCATAAGATTACTTATTTTGATTGTATACTACCATTTTATGCAAGTTGCCGCTATCATTGATGATAACGCGAAATTATACCGTTTATTCGACTTGACTCAGATGCATTTTTAGTACCATTTTTAGTTTATTTATGTCATTTTATGTCAGTATTTCTATTCCATTTCAGGTACATGTTAAGAAAGAGCTCCCATTGGAAAAAGAGTAATGAACGAGCGAGAAACTGAGAAGACAGAGCAAAAGAAAAGAAAAAAATCCAAACTTGGACATGTGGTCCTCTCCACATAACTTGTGGCCCTCGCCACAACTTACCAAGAAGCGTGGCCATCGCCACAACATGTGTGGCCCACGCTACATCTCTAATATTGCAGTCACATATTTGTTTTCTTGCAGCCTTCTCCATGCCCACCATCTCATCCACTCACCCCATGATTTTCTCAACTTCTCGGACCATGACCTCCATTATCTCCACTACCTCTCACATGATGACTCCCACCATTTTTCACTATATAATGTACCTAGAATTCATTGTTTGGGGCATCCAAGTTTGTGCGCGAAAGCGTTGTTCATAGTTTTAGGCAGAAATCAATTTGTAAAAGTGAAAGTTTCTCACATCGAGGAACTACCACACCATTAGTTTTAGGCCTACAATCTATGTACTCCTGGATCCCAATGTTGCCGACATTATTTCAAAGCTTTATTCAAGTTTCAAGATTTATTTCATTCGTAGTTTTATTCAAGTATATTTCATCTTCTTTACTTCCAAGTTTATTTATTTGCAATTATTTTATTTTGAAGTATTATTTTCTAGTTTATTGCATGTTTGTAGGATTTTATTTGTTTTCAGTATTTGGTCGATTCATTGCATGTGATGTCAAGTCTATATACCTGTTTTTCAGTTGTTATTAAATTTACCCAAAATTTTAAAATTTTAACCTCCATTTTTTTTTTCTTTTCTAATGCATGGCACACACTCTGAAAGTATATAGGTTGTTAAAATTTAGGCTGCGTTAGAGAGACTTGGGAAAGTCTCAATAACATTGATACCATTATGACACCCTAAACCCCCTTGTTATGTGATAATCAATTTAGATACCCATTATGTTGAAACCTTAGACTTAAATTTTCAAAGTAGTTCTTAAGTAGTTTATATTAGCAGTCAGCACCTCTTAAACACAAACTATGTAGGGAGTCGATGAATATAAGGGAATGATCCCATTTTTAATAAATAAATGATTTAATAGAAAAATAACCTTCTAAGTTAGGTGATCCTCACCCAGTCATTTAGCCCAACGGTTGTTATGCCTGTAAGGATTTAATAATAAGCACCCATTGTTGGTTGGTCCATAGGTCTCTGGTACTGAACTTGGTAGGGCGGGCTACGGTCCGATCCCCTGCAACCGCTGTTTGGAAAAATGGGGCTGCATCGCTTAAATACCAGAACCTCGAGCTAATGAAAAGAAAAAGGATCATAGTCGCTAACCGATTTCCCCTACTATGTGCATGTAAGGATAACAGGCTTAATGTGATTCTTCTCGAATGAAAAGAGTGAAAGAAAAATGAGATATGTAGGTTAATCTATAATGGCATGTTTTGATTCGGTTTGCATAAAGAGGGAGTCTTTCAACATTGTGTCATTACGATATATTTGGTATTGAATACTTAGTACCTATCAATCTAACACTAGCCTAGCAGTCGCGTATGATTAAGAGTTGTGTCGTTCCTTTGTTTCAAATCATGCTTAATCATGTCCTTTACTGTGTTAGTTGATTGCTTGAGGACAATAAATGGTTTAAGTGTTGGGGAATTTGATAACGTGAAATTATATCGTTTATTCGACTTGACTCGCATGCATTTTTAGTACCATTTTTTTATTTATGTCATTTTATCCTATTATTTCTATTATATTTCAAGTATTTCAGGTACATGCTAAGAAAGAGCTCCCATGCAAAAAAGAGTAAGAAACGAGCGAGAAACTGAGAAGATAGAGCAAAAGAAAAGAAAAAAAATCCAAACTTGGACCTGTGGCACTCGCCACACAACTTGTGGCCCTTGTTACAACTTTCCAAGAAGCGTGGCACTCACCACAACATGTGTGTCCCTCGCCACAGCTCTAATAATGTAGCCACATATTTATTTTGTTGCAGCCTTCTCCACGCCCACCATCTTACCCACTCACCCCATGATTTTCTCAACTTCCCCGACCATGATCTCCATTATCTCAACTACCCCTAACATGAAAACTCCCACCATTTCTCACTATATAAAGGACCTAACATTCATTGTTTGGGGAATCCAAGTTTATGCATAGAAACGCTATTCATAGTTTCAGGCAGAAATCACTTTGTAAAAGTGGTAGTTTCTCACATCGGGGAGCTACCACACCATTAGCTTTAGGCCTACAATATATGTACTCTTGGATCACAATCTTTCTGATATTATTTCAAAGCTTTATTCAAGTTTCAAGATTTATTTCATTCGTAGTTTTATTCAAGTTTATTTCATTTGCTTTACTTCTAGGTTTATTTATTTGCAATTATTTTAATTTCTTGTTCTTATAATACTGTTTTATCATTACAAATCTAAATATGCATATGTTCAGGGTTAATAATTATAATTGCATGTTTTTTCTTTAAATATGTCTGACTAAATTCTTTCATGTCCGGTATGTGAGGATCGTCGTTTCCGACGGGACTCGGTAACAATGTTGGCTTAATATTTATATGAAAATCATGTTTTTGGTTCTTGTTTTTAAACTTAATTTAAATAGTATTGTCATGATAGTGAGAGGTTACTTAATATGATTTTTTCACAAGAGTGAGAAATTAACTAAGGTTCGAGTCGACACTACGAGAGCGTGGGGGTCGAACTAGATAGTAAAAATGGGACATCGAGCTTAAAGAGGGTGAGAGCGCTTTAAGTATTGATTATGACTTATTTAATTTACAAAACACATTCCTTAATTAAAATGGGCGAGCGATAGAAAAATCTCATGGTTAATGAATGTGGCTTTACTTAAAACCACGAGAGTGTGATGTTCAGTCTTTAAATTGATATTTTCTACTAAACACATTTTTAACATCAGTATAAGCCAATGAGTTATAGAGTCTCTGAGGTACACAGAATACACATTCCAGTCTCTCTTTTATTATATATTTCTTTAAATTATTTTAATCTTTATTTTAGTCTTAGTTTCCTCTTAATCAATCATTCATTAGCCTTAACTTTACAAAGAAACAATAGATTACAGTTGTTTGACATTTGTCTCTGTGGGTTCGACAATCTTTTATATTACTTCGATATTTCCATGCACTTGCGGACACATCATTTGGCTCAATTTTGAACTTTGATGTGGAAACTTTCAATCTTCTCGTAATTTTGATCCTCCTTCTGGATCTGGTTTTTATTGGAATTTTTTGGTCTTCTTTGAGCATAATTTTGAGTGTTTTTTTGCTAGTAGTAATTTGGTTATAATTGTGTATTTCTTTGTTGTTATGGTTAGCTGTGTTATGTTTGTCTTTGTTCTTAATCCTTGAGATGTTAGGTTGACCCCGTTATTTATTATTCTAAATGCTCATATCTCAACTTATTAGGTTTTCAGCATGGGCTATAGTTTCATCAATAGATATGGGTTTATCCTCATGTACCAGCTTGTTCCTTGACCACCATATGCTGTCATGGGTGGCCATGAGCATCTTTATTATGGTTGTGTCCTGAGTGCTTACAGTCTCCCATATCCATTGATTTAAGGAAGTATTTTGGATATTATCACACTTAATGTTAAGCCTAGAGCCAAACCAGACTTTCTTGACCAACTCATATTCCTTGAAAATGTGATCCATAGTGTCACCTTTCTTAAGACACTTAGGACAAAAGAGAGGGAATTTCACACCTCTTGTATTTAACTCCATACAGACCAGAATATCTTTCTTTATGATCCTCTAGGTGAGAGCTTTAATTCTAGAGTATGTTTAATATTCCAGAATTTCTTCCATATTTTGATGGTATTGTCATAATTTGAGAGACCAATACTGCTTTTTTTCGGAAGGTCTTGAAAGAAATGGTAGCCCGACTTCACAAAGTAGTTACCATCTTTATTTGACATCCATTCTTTTCATCCTCTCGACCTATAGGAATTATGGTAATTTTATCTCTATCTTAATGGCTGAAAATATTATTTATGAGTGACATGTCCCATGTTTGGATGCCTTGCTCAATTAGGTCCCTAACCAAAAGCACTTTGGTGTCCAAAGGCTTCCAAGTCAGGATTTTAAACTAGCCTTGATAAGGCATCCACGTGTATTGCCACACACTCACCATTTTGCCATTACAAATTTTCCAACAACAACCTTTAAGAAGGTCTTCCTTAGTCTACATAAAACCTTTCCACATATAACTATCATTACCTTTGCTTTGTACTTCTCTGATGTATGAGTGCGGGAATTACTTGGCTTTGAGACTCTTAAAAGGGATAGTATATGTATTAGTTATAATTCTATAAACCTGTTTAGCTAAAAGGTCATTGTTAAATGTGTTAATTTTCCTGAAACCCAAACCACCCTTAGTTTTGAGCCTGTAAAGGTGATTCCATCTAATCCAGATGATTTTCCACTCTTCTCTCCGAGCACCTCACCAGTAGTTATGGATGAGAGTGTCAATCTCATTACAAAGTTTAGTTGGAATCTTAAACATACTCATGGCATAATTAGGAATGGCTTGAGCTACAACCTTAATAAGAATAGCGTTTCCAACATAAGATAGGTTATTTTCTTTCCACCCATTCAGTTTTTTCTCACTCTATCTAGGATATAGCTGAATTCCAATCTTTTTGATCTGCCAATCTGAGTTTGTAAACCCAAGTAGTTACCAATTTCGTCAGTAATGTTGATGGGCATCCAAGATAGCATTTTTCCTTTAG